GTACTAATTATCCTACCGCTAATGTATACTTCCCAAATGTGTTGAAAATCCGTTTACTCTTGAAAGAGGAGCTTGAAAATTCTGATAACTTCATGCATAAGATGGCAGCAAGAATGAATGAGAAATTTGCTAAATATTGGACCAACTTTAGCATAATCATGGCTGTGGCTGTTGTTTTAGACCCTCGATTTAAGTATGAGTTTGTGGAGTGGGCTTTTAAGAAGGTGTATGGGGAAATAGAGGGTACTAATGAGTTGGTGAAGTTCAAGGAAAGGTTGGATTATTTATATGGTGTTTATGTGACTGAGGCTTCCACAACAACACCACGAACAAGGCGCCGTTCTTCTAGACAGCCTAATGAAGAGCAAGTTGATGTTGCTTCTGATTCTTTTATGATGGTAACTGTGAACACTTGCTTTTTGTTTGATAATCAGCTTTAAATTCTGTTTTTTGTATGCTTTATTGTAATTTTTGTTTAAACATCTTTTAGGACTTTGATAACTTCTCTTCTAGAAAATCATATGTTGCTGCTAAATCTGACTTGCAAATCTACTTGGAAGAGCCATTGATTCCTCGTGCAACCAACATTAATATTCTATATCATTGGAAAACAAATGTTGTGAGGTATCCAATTCTTTCAAAGATGGCAAGGGACATCCTTGCAATCCCTATTTCAACAGTAGCTTCAGAATCTGCCTTCAGTACTGGTGGTCGAGTTTTGGACTGCTATAGAAGCTCTTTGAAACCAAACACAGCAGAAGCTATCATTTGCCTCAAAGATTGGACTTTTGGTGAAGGTATGAAAATAGTTTATGTATTTAAAATTACAATTTTTTTTGTTTCTTTTTGTACTATTTTATTTATGCTTAAGGCTGAAATTAACTTTTGTATGTATTCTTTTGGTTGTAGCTAATATGGATCCGCAATTGCAAGATTTATGTGGAAAAATCATGGCCATGAAAGTCAACGATGATGTGGGGGATACTCCCAGCCCCAGCCCTCCACAAAGTGCACCAGAAAGTCCTGCTGTCATGGAGAGTCAAACCTGATTATGTTGTTAATTTCTTCTAAAATTAGTTGATGAAACTGTTACTGTTATTTTGGACATGTATTTGGTTTTCTAGTTGAACTTTTATTTGCCTACTTGGAAGTATTTTGGACATGTAACTCTTGAATTATGTTGTTAAGTTATGTTTGCTTGAATTATGTGTTGAATTTGAAGTCTTGAATACTTGAATCTTACAGGTTAAAGAAATTAGTCAAATTACAGGTTAAAAAAATTACAGTATAAAGAAATTAGTAAATTACAGGTTTTTATTTTATTTTTTTTAATTAAAAAAAATCAGGTTTAGGCGGGTCGGGTTCAGGTCGACCCGTTTATAATCAGGTCGGGTTCAGGTTGGTTTTTTTGACCTGTTTAAGTAAACATGTCGGGTTCAGGTTGGGGGTCCTGACCCGTTTATGTAAACAGGTCGACCTGAACCCGACCCGACCCGACCTGTTTGCCAGCCCTAGGATTTGTTGGTGGTAAGGGAAAGGGGGCTCTGGCAGAGAGGCAGGGGAAGGAAGAAGAAGATATTTTATTTTAATTCTTTAATATTTTAAAAAATCAATTAAAAAGTGACACGTGTCAAATTACCTTTTAAAATAGGTTAACAATTCAACACAACCGGTCATTAAATGAAAAAGGTTCATTTTCGGAATGGGGTTACAAGGTGGGATTATTTCTAGAATTCGAAAAGGTGGGATTATTTCTAGAATTCGAAAATGTGGGATTATTTTGAGCAGATGGGCGAAAGGTAGGATTATTATTTTCAACTTAATAGCTCAGGAGGTAGCCCAAATCCAAAAAAGCTTAAGGGGGGTATAAAGTAATTAAGTCTTGTTAAATGTCAATTCAATCTAAAAAGACCAAAAAACATATTTTCACAAAAATAATTTGTAATCTGAAATTAATTTGTTACACCGTTACACGACCATAGACAAAAGCTAAGATTATACATGCATGTTAAGTGTATAATTTAGAAACCTGTAGCTAACGAGTAATGACATGAAATATCTCTAGCTGATAGCAGCACCTTTGTCAAGGCATGTCTCCAAATTATAAGGCCGAGAATTGTCTTGAGTTCATTCAACTTTTCCTCTTATTCAGAAACTCTCGAAACTTGTTCCAGCGAACTTCCACCATGTCCAACATACTTTCAGCATAATTCTGTAATGCAAGCTTTGCGTTGACAGCTTTTTTGTGCTGCTCGTCCTCTGCCTTGTAATTGTTGGCTTCCTCTACCATCCGATCAATCTCTTCTTTGGATAACCTACCACTGTGATTTGCAATACTGATTTGTTTTTTGTTGTCAGTGCCTATATGCTGCGCTGACACAGTAAGGATACCATCATTGTCGATTTCAAAGCAAACATCAAATTTTTCTTGACCTTGCGGTGCTGGAGGGATATCGTACAGAGTAAATGTACCTAAGAAGTTGTTGTCTTCAGCGATAGGTCTCTCACCCTCGTATACACTAAATGGAACGGTTGTCTCACCATCATAAGCAGTGAAAAGAATAGTTGACATTTTCACTGGAATGGTAGAATTTCTCGGGATCACAATATTCATTTCACCATAATAAAGCCTAACCCCAAGGGACAAAGGAGTAACATCTACTAGTGTGAAGTCTTTATTGTTACGTACACCGCTCAAGATTGCAGCTTGAATTGCAGCACCATATGCAACGGCCTCATCCGGGTTAATGCTTTGGCAAAGTTCCTTCCCTTTGAAAAAATCTTTCAACAATTCTTGAACTTTTGGAATTCTAGTTGACCCACCAACAAGAACAACATCATCAACATCACCCTTTTTCATATTGGCGTCTTCCAAACATCTCTTAACAGGATTTATACAATTTTTAAACAAATCCAGGTTCAACTTTTCAAACTTGGCACGGGAGATGGTTGAATAAAAATCAATACCCTCGTAGAGACAATCTACATCAATACTAGTCTCAGTAGCTGATGAAAGCATCCTTTTAGCCCTCTCACAAGCATATCTCAACCTCCCAATAGCCCTGCGCTCCTGACTGATGTCCTTGTTATGTTTCCTCTTAAATTCAGACACAAAGTAGTCAACCATTCTACTATCAAAATCCTGACCACCTAAATGAGTGTCTCCGTTAACAGCTTTCACTTCATAAGCCTGTTTACTAATTCTGACCAAAGATACATCAAATGTCCCACCGCCAAGATCAAAAACTAACACGTTCTTAGCCATGTCTTTCCTATCATTGCTCATATCGTTTAGACCATAGGCAATGGCAGCAGCAGTTGGCTCATTGATAATGTGCATGACATTGAGTCCAGCAATGGTACTGGCAGCTTTTGTTGCCTGACGCTGGGAATCATTGAAATAAGCCGGGACAGTGATAACAGCATTTTTCACTTCTGAGCCAAGGTAGGTCTCTGCAGTCTGTTTCATCTTCATTAGGACCATTGAAGAGATTTCCTCTGCAGAAAATTCCTTTTCTTCGCCCTTATAGGTGACTACAATAACAGGTTTGTCGTCTTCAGACGCAGAAATAACCTTAAAAGGCCAGAGTTTCATGTCATTCTGCACTATTTCATCAGTGAATCTTCTGCCAATAAGCCTCTTTGCATCTGTAGTTTATTCCAGTGGTTAAGAAAGCAATTATAAGAAATTGACAAATGTAATACAGCTATTGCATCAATTTGTTTCAAAATAAATTGCAAAACTTTGACTAAATGTGAGAGCTCTTGTTGCAATTTTATGAAACGGAGAAGTATAAACTCTTTTAAAATAAAATAAAAAACATAACTACATAAGTAGTTAAATGTGCTTTAGGAGACATATAAGAGTTAAAGAGTATATCTAACCCATTGTCTCTTTACGACGATTGTTTCATTTTTTTTATATATAAAATAATTACATTCTAATAACACTTTGCAATAATCATCAATCCGTTGTCTTCCTCTTACAATTTTTAAATACTTCAACTTTAATTCCCTACTTATCAATAACACTTATTCAAGTGATATCACTTTTGAATACAATATCAGATTTTTTAGAATGCTATCTTCTCATATTGAGAAACGAAATTTGTTTCTCATGGAGAATATCACGTGAGAAACAAATTTTGTTTCACAATATGAGATATTAGACATCCCCGAGTGGAAGTGCTTGTTTACAATAAGTACTACATCCGTTAACTTTTAGTTGTAACAAAGGGTATTATTTATAAGACGTAACACAATGTATTTTTTATTGCAACTAAAAATTAACAAAAGTATTAAAAATGAACAACAATAATAAGTTTCAATTAATCGACGATAATTATTTGAAGTTTAAAGATTATTTCCCTTCAACTAAAATCAACTAGGAATAATTACTTTCTAAACCGGATGCTATCGACATATATTGGACACACATTATAAAGTCAATCTAGTAAAACATAATTACGGATTAATTAATAATTCTAGTGTACATTAAATATTTATTTGATAAAAATAATTTCATCTGGGTTTACGGTCAGTTTTAGCTAACATGGATGCTATTATATGGACACACGTTAGGATTTAGGAATATCATCTGTGACCAAACGTTGTTATACGAAGTATAATAAACGAAGCAAAATTATATTGTAACATGATATACATGAAGATTGAAGGATAGAGGTTAAGAGGTAGAAAACGAACCAAAAATAGTATTAATAGGATTAGAAGTAGCCTGATTTTTAGCAGCCTCGCCAACAAGACGCTGGGTTTGATTGAAAGCAACACAAGATGGTGTCGTTCTGTTTCCTTGATCATTGATAATGATTTCAACACGGCCGTGCTGCCATACTCCAACACAAGAGTATGTTGTCCCGAGATCGATTCCTATTGCCGGCAATTCTTTTTTACCTTCCATAGTTTTATTTGTTTAGACAGGATGGAAATTTGAGGGATTTAACGTCGGATAAGGGAAAGAAAGAACGGTTGGTTAGGGTATTTGTTTGAAGCAATTTATAACAGAGTAGTTTGACTTGCAAAATAAATTATGTGAAATTTACTTATAGGAAGGTCCGTAGGTGTAGAATACTTAGGATTTTTTAATTTTATCTTTTTAGGAAGTGTACACTACTTAGGATTGGGTAGAAAAAAGCCTTGAGCACGCCTGATCTGATCTTTATAGAAATAGAATAATTGAAGACAGATAGAACGTAGCTACGAGAAGAGAAGGTATGCCGCTTGTTCCTTCTACTTTTTACCGAATTAAATTGTTGTTCGGTCGTGGTACTTTGTTATGTGTACCCAGAAAAAGGGGAAAACTCTGGTTCGAAGACGGTTTTCAAGCTTACTAAAATCTTATAGGAAAATTTGAGTTTATAAATCCCAACTTTGGGCGATTTACGATGAAAAATCTCAACTATGCATTATCCCTCAAAAATCCCAACTTTGATACATATTTCTTTTAAAGATCCCAACAGGTCACCAAACCTATTACTTTAGGTTACAATCCACGTGTCAACACGGGATTGGTAAAATAATAATTCAAAAAATAAATACTAAAAAGAATTAATTCAAAAAAAAAAAAACTAAATGAACCAAAAAAATCAAAACAGTAGCCCCTACCCCATCCCGGAAAACACCCTACCCACACCCCACCTCGTCGGATTATCGCCCTCAACCCGACAACCCCTCCCCATCCCCGGAATCCGACGACAAACCCTCTCCCACCCTCGAAAACCCACCCCTGTCCCTCCTCCCACCCTCGCGAAACCCACCCACTAACCCCCTAACCCGAAAACACCCCTCCCCTAACCCCACCTTCGAAAACGCCCCCTTCCCCTTCCCCAACCGTGGATCGATTTCTGGGGTGGGGGAAGGGAGGGGGCGACTTCGAGGGTGGGGGTTTTGGGAGGGGGCTTTAAGGTTTAGGGTGGGAGGGTTTCACGAGGGTGGGGGGAGGGTTTTTCGTCAGATTCCGGCGACATGAAGGGATTATTGGGGGTGGGGGAAGGGTGGGCGCCGTTTTACGGCGGCGGGGAGAGGTTTTCGGGGATGGGAGGCGATTTCCGGCGGGGTGCTGGGGTGGGGGTGAGGGTGAGGTGTTTTCTGGGATTGGGGTGGGAGCTGGGGGTTGGGTTTTTTTTAATTTTTTGAATAAATCAGATTTTTTTAAAAAAATAACAATTATTAATTTTATTGTTTGGACCACTAAAATTTTGACA